TGGTCTATATCTTCTTGCTTCATCTGACTCTTTTGGACAATCTACAAATATCTACAGTCAACACAGTAAGTAAACCATGGGAGACAAAGTATGTAAAAATTTAAAATTTATTTTAAAAAACTACTTTAACATGAAGCTGTGTTTGCCCATTCAGAGCAAAACAATGGATTTTGTAATGCCCTTCTCCCCAGCTGTGTATACTTACTTTTCCTTTGTTCCCCCACCACTCTGTTCATTGGCCAGAAGCAAGGAAAGACAGCACGGTGTAATCTCTACATTGCTCCATTTGAACCTTACACAGGGATGAGGGCTCTCCTTGCCTTATGGTACGGTGCTAGGCCAATTACAAAGAACCAACTCTATCACACGTAGTGGTCACATGTTCCTCCATACCCAGAGGTACTGGTTTTCATTAAAGCCTGCTTGCACAGTAGTACACTGTCGCCTTGCCTTTGCTCCCTCACAGCTCTGTTTAGCTGCCAGGAGCAAAAACAAAATAAAAAAATACTTATTAACTAAGTCAGTGTTCCCTAACCTTTTTTTAGTCATGGCACACTTTAAAAGAATGAAAAATCCCAGTCTATAATGCCATAGATTTTAAAAGGGTCCCCACACAAAAGGGGGACACATTAGAGTCCCCCTTTTATATCGGCCCACTTTCATATAAGGGCCCCCTCCTTTTACATCAGAAGCCTCCCTTTAAATCATAGTCCCCATTTATATGATAACCCCCTTTCATATCAGAGTCCCCCTCTTTTATTACATCAGAGTTTCCCCTTCACATCAGAATACCACCATCACAAAATTTTGAGGCACCTGTAAAGAAGTCAGAAGGCACTCCGGTGTGCCATGGCACCCTGGTTGAGAAAGACTGCTATACAACATAAAAGTATTTCTGTTTAATTTCCCCATCCATGCCCCCCCCCCAAAAAAATTTTAATTTCCCCACCTATGCCCCCCCCCCAAAAAAAATAAAAATAAATAAATAGCAATGGTAGTCCCAATTTCTTTGCATAATAAGTGCACCAATAACATTTTAGAAAAATATATAATTATCTTCAATTGTACATTACCTGTGGCATGTTATCTGTTGAAAAATCGTGGCAGCATAGAACAGGGTGCAGGTGAAATATCCCATGTCCAAATCACCCAATACAAAGACACAGAATAGAGCAGAAATCTATCCCAGTGCTACGGATTCTGTTATAAGAGGTCTGTGCTGAGTTAGCTGCCAGTACTCATCGCTGGATGCCAATGAAGATCAGTGCCCAGTAGATGAACAGCTCAAACCACAGGTTGCAGGACCATCATATCCGTGCTCTCTGCTGTGTTGACTCATCCGGTCTATACACATGTAATTAAGTTTTGTGCTGTGGCCAATAAATCTAATTCTGTTACAGATAATTGTATTTTAACACAGATTTATTCAAGAATTCAAAGAGCTGCGTACAGTCCACTAACCCACAGAAACCAACAAACAATTTATATTTTATAGTATTATCTCCAGCATGATTGCCAAGTGTCCCTCTT